ATAGTGGTTAATCGAAAACAGAAACACCTTCAAGCAATCTGCTATGTTCTGAAAAGGATCAGTGTTCAGCAATCAAAATTAACAGATTATTCATTTGATTACTATTAAATTTTAAGGGAACGTCAAATGGATATTGAATTTGAATAATCGAATTTACAGGTCTATAGCCAGCCTATAGATGGACATGCCTGTCACAATTTAAATGTACAATCTATTAAATAATTATGTACACTTAGACATATGCACTAGCGGTTTTTTATGTGTGACACTGCATTCTTTTACATGTATTTTTATGCATGTGTAGCACTACCCCTTTAAGAGTCACTCAGTTTTGTGTCCCCAGAAAGCTCTACACGGCCAGGGAATATGCATTCACCACACTTTTGCACACTGGAGACAGTAAACAGTCCTTGAGCTTGGTTTCGCGATTTTATTAAGGGGTTTAGAACTTGGATAGGTTTGAGGGGTGTATGGTATACCCGAGGAACTGTCGAAACTATAGGACAACTCAGAGCAACTATGTACAAAGTTGTAGACAAAAAGGAGTAGTGTCTCCTCTAAGAGCATTCCAACTCTCTGGTGTACCTCCTCAGACCCCAGATGAATCCTTCTCTTCACCTGGCTGCCTGAGGGAATTCCCTGGGCAAGGGGGCCCAGAAACTGCCAATCTAATGCAGCAGTTCCGGATGAGAAGCTAGTTGGGTTTTCCACCTGACTGCCTTCTCTCCTTATCTGGCCCACCAGGAGGTGGAAGAATACCCACACTGTCCTTTCTTGCAAGCTTATTGGGTTGGTGGCTGCCTTCAGGCCTTTTTCTGGGCTGGCTCCTTCTCTGCTGTTCAGGATGTTCTCCCTTGGAGACAGTGGCACAGTGGAAATCCTCTTCTCCCACAACTGCCTGTAGGTAGGCCCCCTCCCAGGCTCCAAACTCCAGCTCCTCACTCTATCTTCCACCTGACACTCATTGACACTGCTGCACAGGCTCTGCCACTTTTGAGGGTTTCCCTGGACACCATGCCTAGCCTCCTGCCAGGGGATTGGCCAGGATCCCTCAAACCTGCTCTACCCCTCCTCCAGAAAGCTCTCAGGTTTCTAGAGAGGTGGGAGGGCTAGGAGGTTTCAGCACCAAGGGGATAAAATGCCCCTGATGTGAACAAGCCCTTATGCAAAATACATTCAACATTTGGAGGGGCTGTCCCTATTTTCAAAGCAAATCTCTCTGTTTCTTGTGCCTCCTCAGTTCTCCCTCTTTCTCTGACTAATACAGTATATATTGTAGATCTCTATTACAAAATGTACTGTTTATCTCCCAGAAGTGTTATACTAAACTAAACATCCAACCTCGAAATGATTGCTTTTTTTTATAATTATAGTTTTTTATAATTAATATAAAAAACTACTGGTGAAAAAGCACTTGTTGGTTTAACCAATCTTTTTTTACTTATTAATTCCTGATGGTCCATGTAACTGGGGCCTTGGTGGGGGTGTGCCTTTGGCCTACATACTTTGTGCTCAGAAGTGTCTCATGTTCCCATCACAGAATGTGGGAAGGTATGCATCTAATACATACAGTATATATACAGATATATTATACTACTGTATGTATATTCCCCAACAGCACTGCCTATGGGCCTCCAGTCTACTGCATAAGAAGTTTTATACTCTGATCCTCAGATAAATCACTTGTTAATACTGGAACTCTATCTGTTATGCTTGATGAAGCCTTTCTTGCCTGATAATCCACTGCAGTTTGGGCATTTTTAGGGCATGGCCATACTGCCACTTTTTGCAACATGACTGACTTTATTAGATACATGGCACTTAATATGTAACAGATGCTGTTACACGTGTTCCAACGTAATCTGTTGGCATGATGAATACGTTGGAGACATAGAATTGGTGTATGCCATGTTCAGGCTAATTGGGAATAATGCACAAAATATTTAAATAGGAAACTTTGTAGTCCTATCACAAAGGAGGTAAAGGTGCCCATTATATTTGGACACTCTTAAAAATCCTACTTAAAATACTTATCAGAATTTTTTTTTTTTTTTATTGGCAGATGAAGTGTGGGTTATGCCTTCCTGACATCAGTGTTAATAAGCTTCTGATAAAAGTTAAAAAAAATTAGTTTTGGGTGGACAGTGCTAATTTATGTTTGTCTTTTTTTTCTTTTTCAATTTGTGTTTACATTGCTGCCAGGACAGAACACAGAAACTGAGAACCATTTCACTAACTTTGGGTTTGTTTACACTAGCAGTGCTCTCTGAAGAATAACACACAGTTGGATCACTCTTCAGGAAGCATTTGACAGGTGGTGAAGAGTCACTGTATGCCTCCTCAATGCCTGTTTTAACCCCACACTAACATGCGGCAATTGTATGCTTTGCACACAGTTGCAAGGCACCCCCATTCAGTAGTGTATAAATGAGGCCCTAAAGTGATACTAAAGGATATTTTTTTGTGTTAAAATAGAAAAAGATGTTATAATTACCTGCTCTGTGCAATGGTATTGCACAGAGCGATCCCTTACCTCTGCCAGTGCTGTGCTAAGGGGGCACCCTTGCGTACATGCTCCAGATCTGGGCTGTGTGTGTCCATAGACACACAGAGCACCAATATGCCACACCCCCACTCCCTCCTCACAGGAGTTTGATTGAGAACAGCAGGAGCCCATTGATCCCACTGCTCCCAGTGTCTCCTGAGAGACCAGGAGGTGATAGTGGTGCTGCAGCTGGGATAGCACTGGTGAGAGGAGTCAGGTAAGTGTTTAGGGATGGGAGGAGTGGGTAGAACAGACAGTGGGGTGTTTTTTTACCTTATTGCAGGGAATGCGTTAAGTTAAAAAATGTTTTGACTTTAAAACCACTTTTGGTCACTAACATAAGAACATTGCAGGTAAACGCACAGAAGCATCAAGTATTTAAATGCTTATTTTCAGTGTTCTTACTTTCCATAAATGTTTTTATGCACTTGCAATGTGCTCTACACGTTCTTGAAAAAGTTTACTAGTTTGTCCTCTAGCACAGTGCCCTCCCATCTTGTACATCATAGCCCTTATTCTCTTCTCTACTGTCTGTGCTGGCCCAGCTCCTGCACCCCTCCCTTCACCTTCCTACATAACCTTTTATGTAGCTGCTGGGAAGACATGAAGGTAAAGACTATTCACTTACCCGCCACCGTATAGCAGATATACTGCTACACGGCAACACGGGTGTGTAAAATCATGTATATATATATATGTGATTTTGCATTTCCGCGTAGGGGGCGCCGCCATTCGTGGCCACGGATGTCAATCACCGGGTCCAGGCCGGTGATTACCCACCAACGCCCGGTGATTACTGACAATCACCGATGGGGAGGAAGACTGTTTTGTTTACAGTTTTCCTCCCTGTCAGCACACTGCTCGGGATGGCTGTGCATTAATTTTTTTACTGGACATGTTTAATAGCAAAAAGTCCAAAATATTGTTTTTTTCTCAAAATTGTCGGTTTTATTTTGCTTATAGTGCAAAAAATTAAAAACGCAAAGGAGATTACATACCACCAAAAGAAAGCTCAATATGTGGGGAAAAAAAGGACGTAAATTTAATCTGGGTGCAGCGTTGCATGACCACGCAATTGTCAGGTAAAGTAAGGCTGTAACGCACAAAATGGCCTGGTCAGGAAGGGGGGTAAATCCTCTGGAGGGCAAGTGGCTATAGAGCATCTGCTGGAGTTGCTGACACCATATCTAAGAGGGCAGCACCCAGTAGCAGCCACAGGACTTTTGGAAGCCTACACAAGGGAGGCTTTTACATGTCAATATGATACATAAGTTACATTAAATCCACATATAAATTTATAGAAAGAATTTTTAAATTATTGGTCTGATGGAGGGTCTCTTTAAATGTTAAAATGCAGGACAATGTGATGGAATTAATTACCATCATCCCCATTATTATCTTCTTCCAGGAGAGGTCATTACAACCAAGACAGCAGGTTGAAACATTCCAATTCACAGAACAGGCCAGTGAGAAAGGTGTAGCACTAATTAGATGGAGTGACAATGGAGACAAGACTGATTAGCATTACAAAAAACAGCTGAGACCTGAACTCCTTGCTGCAAACTGCACAGGTCAAAGCCACCACCCTTATACTTTCTCAACTTTATGGGCTTCCTAAAAATAAATCTTAGGTCTAAAGAAATAGTTCAAAAATAGTCAAAAAGATCCCTATGACACCATCTCAATCGTGCTAAGCATATGAACATTTATCAGCTATAGACGTAATCAATTTTGTGCTTATGATATTCTAGTTGTATCATAATAAAGTTCAACACTGAGCAACCCCCTTCCTCTGTCCCTAATTTTTTCATTGTAAAAAGCACATGTAATGCCCTCTAGTGTACATAGGTTTTTTCGTGTATAATTAGAGGCCTGCTAGAAGCTTGGGTATGATTCAGCATTGATATGAGTCAGCAAGGTTACTTCAGGTTAGAGATGGAGGGCTCTACAAGCGAGTCCTCTGGTACCTCCCCCTGCCCTAGAAACTTGGAGAAGTTTCTAGAAGCCAGTAGGTGGAGCTGAAGAGGGGCTGATCTGCATATTCATGGAGGTCTGACCAATCCCAAGCAGGAGGCCTGGCAGTGTGAGAGATCAGCCCATAAATATGGGAGAGACTGGTCAGCAGGGGAATCGCATGGAAGATGGAGTGGGGAAGTCCTGCTGGTGTGGAGCCTCTGAGGGGGCTCCGGAGAAGGGGGTCTACCTACAGGCTGGCATCCCATGTACATGTACATCCCATGACCTATGTACAGAATTGGCCAGATGGGAGCAGTGCCAAAGAGGATTGCTGTTTATAAATGGCCCCCATTAACTGCCTGTGCGCGCTCCCTGGGAGCGCGGCACCGCAATCCAGTGCCTGCTGTGTCCTCTGGACACAGTGGAACACCGATTGCTGTACGGGACCTCTGTGTGAGGGCCCGATCATGGGATCACTGATTGGCCAATCACTGATCACATGAATAGTAGTAAGCAAGATGTCACTTCCTGACATCATTGCTTACTACTTGTGAAATCTGTGAATGGTCACAGAGGTCACATGGTACAAGGCTATTCACAACAGCCTTGTACCATGTGACAAGCTGTGACCAATCACAGCTCACACAGTATTTCTCAATGGCTGCAAGAATGCAGCCAGAGAGAAGGAGAATTTATTGCTTTTACAGCCTTTATGGGTGTAAAAGCAATTAGTGTAAAAAAAAGAAAAAAACATCTTCATCACCCCCCACAAGTAGTAAAGCATCACTATGGTAACACTGTACTGCTAGGGTGACAGTATGTAAAAAACCAAATACATAAATAATAATATAAAAAAATAAAATAAAAATTAAAAATCATTTTTAAAAAATTATAATTTTTGATTCTAAACTAATTTGGGATATTTTTTTTTTACTAAAAAGATAGATGAATACATTTTGGCAAAGATTTATGAAGAAAGATTATTTGCAAAATTTTATAAGAAAAACACTTTTTTTTTTTCAAAATGTTTGGACTTTCTCTTTTTATAAAAAAAAAATAAAAATCCCAGTGGTGAAAAATACCACCAAAATAAAGTTTTGTCTGTCTCAAAGAAATGCTAAAAAATTCATATGGGTACAGTGTTGCATGACCGTGCAATTGTCATTCAAAGTGTGATAGCACTGAAAGCTGAAAATTGGCCTGGAAAGGAAGGGGGTGAAAGTGTCCAGACTGGAAGTGGTTACAGCTACAGGAACAGGACAGTGTGAGTACCTTACACTCCCTGGGCCTACAAGGGAGAGGGCAGTCAGGTGCCGTACCGAACTAGTTCTCCCTGGGACATTATACTTATGTATCTCAGAATACCTTGCACTGGGATATTCTTCATGACAGCCAGGTAGATGATGAAATTTTCATCTGGGGTGTGAAGAGGTTCATTTAAGAGGACTGAGTGCTTCTAGAAAGGACTGTGTGCTGATCTGTTAAGAGCAGGGGCGGACTGACAACTCATGGGGCCCCCGGGCAATAGGGGATCATGGGGCCCCTGTGTCCTTGCCCATGCCCATGCCCAAAAAAGCCTATGAAAAAGCCAAAGAAAGGTACCAGGGGCATCTCATGGGGCCCCCTACTGACCCCAGGCCCTCGGGCAGTGCCCAAGTGCTCGAATGGTCAGTCCACCCCTGGTTAAGAGGCACGAGCCACTTCAGAAGGAGTAGAAAGATCAGGATCTAATTCTTCCTTTTTTGTACATAATGAGTTTATCCTCAAAGTTGTTTTAGTTCCATTGGGCATCCCATATACCCCTATACCCCATCCAAGCTGTATACCTCTCAATAAAACAACAAAAACAAGCTCATGGACTGTTTAATGAACTTGGATGAAAATGCATGTTGCCTGGCTGTGCAGGAAAATAGGGGGACCCCAAACCAGTTGCTCTCTAGAGAGTAGCACTACACACAAAAATGTCATCAAATCTGCTGTCATGTGATCTCCGCGGTACCTATCACAGTAGCAGTGACTGGTGGTCCGAAGCTGCTCTCCTCTTGCTTGCCCCACTGGTCTTGTGTATGACATCACCCATGAAGGCTTCAGGACCCTGTGATAGATCCTTTTAATGTCCAGTGGGCACTACAAACTGGAATCCCCTTGCAATAGGAAGCAGAAGAAAGTGCTGGTGCTGGACTATTTTGCGTCCTAGGCAAGACCAGCTACTTGCACCCCCCCCCACCCAAAAAAAAATAAATAAATAAAACTTCAACATTTTTAGCCTGTGCAGGGAAACTTTCTCATCTCCTTGCCATTGTTAGCTCTGGAGGCTGACTGGGAGGAAATGTTCACTGTTCTCCTTCCCTTTTACCAGTAACACCCGCCATACAGGTCCAAGGTCCGCTGATAGAAGCTCGGAGCCTGGGTAGCATGGCAGGGCACATGGGGGTGTGTGAAAGCAATCTGGCGGCTGCTCAGCTATTGGATCATTTCCACTTGACAGTCAGATTTACACACACTCAATGAGATGCTTCCTGTTTATATTTTATACTTGTGTTTGAGGGACATTAAAAATTTGAAGCTGAGCAACACTTTTACCACCCCCCAACCACTCCCCATTATGCTGTAAAGGCACTGACACCGTGGCATGGCAGCGGGGGGGTTTTGCACAACACCCCACCACTATTGCTATACTACAGTGCCAATGCCTTTGCAGAATAATAGGGAGTGGTTGGGGATGTTAAAAATGTGGCTCAGACACACATTTTTAATGTCCCTCAAACACAAGTGTAAATAAGAACTAACAGGAAATATCTCACTGTGCTTATGTGATCATCATCATTATCATGGTGATGATCACACAGTACAGAAGGTGCTGTGTGTCTGTCTGTATACAGTGTATGGCTGTATCTCTGTCTTTGCCTCAGAAAATAGAAATTGTGAGCTTGCCTGTGCATCGGGTTCCCATTGCTGCCTGTGCCCTCGGCCACCACTCGCCACCAGGCTACAGCCTCGCCTTCCATCCTCCTTGGAAGGAAGGGATAATCACTCCACCAGTTAAAGGCTGCGAGCAGCCGCTGCCGCTGATCAGTATTGCAAAACGCAGTGTGGCTTTAGCCGCCTGCGCCCAAAATTAAATAAAGAGTCCCTCTCTGCTCCTCACCTCCCCTCTGGTGAACTGATGATGCCAAGGGAAAATATAATTAATGTTACAGCAAAGCCAGCTGTACAGCTCTATCTGTTGCCCTGGCCGTGGCTACTCTCTAGGCGGCAGTTTGCCTTAGGCAGCTGCCTAGTTTGCTTAGTGGTAGCGCAGGCCCTCGGTGGCAGTAAACACAAAGGCAGTAACCAATATATTGAAGAACTTGCAAATAGTATAACAACCCAACTGGGAAGCTCACCTGACCTGAAACTTACAGTCAATACAGCAGTAGTAGGTCGAACTGAAGACAGGGCCTGCCAAGGGAGGGTTGAATGCGGCCTGGCCAGTCCAACCCAAAAGTGAGCTTGCTGAAGTGCAAACGTAGGACCTAAGCTGTCCCTATACCTCTGGAACCTGTCCCTACCACTAGTGCTGTCCCTGACAGATGGATATGCTCTTCGTACACTAGCCACTTCACAATATGTGCCAAAACCTGGGGGCAGGACTTAAAAAGACTCTGCATGACCCAAGATGATTGCCAGGGTCACCTGGATGCAGGGCCAGTGCTAAACTATTTTGTGCCCTAGGCAAGACCAGCTACTTGCGCCCACCCAAATAAATAAATAAAAATTTTGAAAACAGTAGAAAATATTAAATCTACTAAAAACAACAAAACATGAAACTGCTAAATTTCTTTTTTTTCTTTTTTGCAAAAATAAGTGGCGTAAGATGCCACCAGCACCAATATTAAAGACAAAATATATATTAACTAAATATAAATAAACTGTATTAACCAATCAGACAGATAGACAAAACAAAAGAGACAGAGTTATAAAACTCTGAGTCTGAGACTGAGTCTGAGAGGAACACTGGAAGGAGCAGCAGCTCAGCTGCTACACTGGCCCCAGACACCCAGCATCTTCTTCTGTCCTTTCTTCCTCCCCTCTGCCACCCCTCCCCTCAGCTGAAGGATCATTCATGACGTGGCAGCGTCCCACATGATCAAACACTATCCAATCCCCTCACCCTGACCATTGTCCTCCTCCCTCCTCCTCATGTCACCTCCATGACCCACCATCCTCCTAGGCTCGGCTCTCCTCTAATGGCTCCTGTCCGGGTGTGGAGTCCAGGCTGCAGCTCTCAGTGAGGACAGACAGCCTCCCAGCACTACACAACTTCCCTCTCATACGCATTGGGCCCCGATCATCCTACTCACATAGGGTTAACCCTGCAAGTAGAACACACCCCCGTCTATTGATTGGCTCCAGCTGCTGTAGAATAGGCAGATCCAGTGCTGGACACACCCCATTCGGTCACTAGTCGATTCCCTGTTACAGCTGGAGGATTGTGTGTGCCAATGTGTGTACTGGAGATGTACGGACCGATCTTCTGATCAGAGATTGCTGACTGCCCAGGGTCCTGGGCTAATGTCGTTACTTCCCATCTTAGAGGGAGCTGACAGTTCACTGCTACATAGAATTCTGTCATGTATATATACTGTATATACACTGCTCAAAAAAATTAAGCACTAGATGGGCAACAATGAGACGATCCCCAAAACAGGAATGGTTTTAGAGGTAAAGGCCACTGCCATTTTTTTCTCTACTCATCTTTTCTGACTGTTTTCACTAGTTTTGCATTTGGCTAGGGTCAGTGTCACGTCTGGTAAATTGAGGCGATGCCTGGACCCTACAGAGATTGCACAGGCAGTCCAACTCCTCCAGGATTGCACATCAATATGTGCCATTGCCAGAAGGTTTGCTGTGTTTCCCAGCACAGTCTCAAGAGCATGGAGAAGATTCCAGGAGACAGACAGTTACTCTAGGAGAGCTGGACAGGTCCGTAGAAGTTCCTCAACCCATCAGCAGGACTGGTATCTTCTCCTTTGTGCAAGGAGGAATAGGATGAGCACTGCCAGAGCCCTACAAAATAACCTCCAGCAGGCCACTGGTGTGACCAAACAATCAGAAACAGACTTCATGAGGGTGGCCTAAGGGCCCGACGCCCTTTAGTGGGCCCTGTGCTCACTGCCCAACACCATAAAGCTCAATTGGCATTTGCCATCTAACACCAGAATTGGCAGGTCAGCCACTGGGGCCCTGTGCTTTTCACAGATGAGAGCAGGTTCACCCTGAGCACATCTGACAGATATGAAACGGTCTGGAGAAGCCGTGGAGGACATTATGCTGCCTGTAACATCGTTCAGCATGACCATTTTGGTGGTGGGTCAGTGATGGTCTGGGGAGGCATATCCATGGAGGGATGCACAGACCTCTACAGGCTAGACACTGGCACCCTGACTACCATTAGGTATTGGGATGAAATTCTTGGACCCATTGTCAGACCCTACACTGGTGCAGTGGGCATGGGTTCCTCCTGGTGCATGACAATGCCCGGCCTCATGTGGCGAGAACTTGACAGTTTACTTGTGATTGACAGATGCGGCCGCAAATGGCGGCACGGGTAGGGCACTTGCACGCCCCCTAC